CAGTACATGGTGCTGGAGCTCCGCGAGGCCCTGCAGCCCGGGAGCCTGTATGAGCTGCAGCTCAGCTTTTCGGGCCCCGTGTACCAGGACTTTAGGGAGGGACTCTTCATCAACCTCTACACGGACCAGGGTGAGCGCAGGTAAGGGCAGGACGGCCTCGGTCCTCCAGGTTTGGTCCGCGGACCAGCAATTGCTGTGATACTTGGGAGCTTGTTCAAAACGCAGACTCGTGGGCCCCTCCCTCAACCTAAGAGATCAGAATGCGCGCGTTCACCAGAGACCCGCAGGTGATGGCGTAGGAGAAGCCGGGGGTGGGGTGGGGTGGGGTGGGGGCGCTATCTCACCCTCCGCCTCGCCGCCGCTCCTTTCCCGGGGGCCGCTCCGCGCTCAGATCCCTCCCTGCGTTGCCTCTTTACCTCTGCGCTCTGTAACGGCTGCTCTTGCAACAAAGATTCACGTCGGGGCTGTTTGTTCTCTTGTGTTTTTTTTTTCTTTTTGCGAAGGTTCTTGAAACCTTCGGAATGCCCTTTAATTCACCCCCTCCGACCCTTGCCGGGGGCCCGCGTCTGGTTTTGCTAGAGCGCAGCCGCATCCCCCCTACCACACCCAGCCCTTTGAACAGCTCTGTCGAGGGTCCGAGCCTGCGCTTTTGGGATTCCTCTGCTGGAAAAAAATAAATAAATAAAAGCGACGACAGACCGCCCCTCTGAGTTTGCAAGCTCACGTAGTGTACATATGTTCCTTTTATACTCATTTGAGATAATGTTTCCCACACGGAATGTTTCCACCTCAAGAACTGCCTGTTGCTACGGCCTGGGACCGCATTACTTGACCTCAGGCGAGCGAGCATGGGGGATAAATGGTTGGAAGATATCAAAAATCTTTTCTTTTTTCCCCCAAACCGGCGATCTCCTTTACTCACGCACTGGTGGAGCATTTGCGGTTTACACAACTGCATGTACTTTACCCTTTATTATTAGAGAAAATGCTCTCAGATGTTCTCTCTGGGAAAGAAACCCACTAGATTACCCCTAATCTCGTGCACTATTTTCAAAACTTCGGGGGTTTTAAAATAAGTTTAATAAGCTGCCTTAGTGATGTGTAACGTTTGTTTTTAAGGACAGTCTGCCTGGTTGTTCTCTTTCAAAAATGTATCCGTGCTTGAAAAATTGTTTTTGAAAGGTTTCACATTAGGATGATGTGTATCTGGAGTATGAGCATTGGGAGCCTTTTGAATGAACTGTGCGTAGCTCAGGAGGCAAGAGTTTTCAGAGAAAGAATAGCCACACTGTGCACACACATCTCTTTCTGCTTCCTTAATGGGGAGTCTTAATGGGGCTCCGGCCCAGATGCACCGCTCCAGCAAACATGGGAAAGCAAAGTCCCCTTTTCTATTGTGCTGCCAACGGGCGGTAACTAGAAACCATAGTTTGAGAACATTAAAATTCAAACAGGCAGAAAACTCAATAAAGTTTTACAGATGTTCAGAGGCCAAGGCGGAGCTCCAGATTTGCGGCATCTTAAAGGAGCTGTTGCCTCAGAGTTGTTTTCAGGGTCCCTGCTTCTGAAGCCACAAGGAAATGAGACCTGCAGCTACGCTTGAAGCCAAGGGAACAAAGAACCTAAACAAAGTGATGACTTATGGGTGAGGCAGATTTTGGAAACCCAGCAGGCACAGTTTGAACCCCAGTCTCTCTACCTCTCTGCGGTTGCTGCCTCCTTCATGGAATACACATGCTGAGTGAGAGTGTGGTGAGGATTTAATGAGGAAGGGGGAGACGGTGCAATGGTAACTACCGTCATTAACTCCGGATATTATTGTTAGGAGCGCCCTCCTGTTAGCTGAACGTGGAATCTGCCCTATTCCTGTTACATATGAGTTTAAGAAGATTTCCATGTAGGAGGAAACGGCCTACTGATTTCACATTTTCCTTAGGGTGTCCATAGCTTCCATTGCAGCAGTCAGAACATGTTTACCTCTCTCCTTTGGTGATCCTTTATCACCAAAGATAATATTAGAAGGCCAATGTTTTTAAATGATTTTATTCAACGCTAAGGGAAAAGAGAAAGGAAATCGTTCCAGAAACTGGTTTTCAAAGAGCATCACTGTCTCTCACTTCTAATGTTTAGAGGCTTCTGGGGCTGCGTCCTCCCTGTTCTTGGCCTTTTCCCACTTGGCAGGCTCCATCACATTTCTGCCGTATAGGAACCACGTTCTGGAGGCCCTGGATTTGTGCTTGTGTCAGGATCTGGTTTCCTCCTTCCATGTGTAGGAAGTTGAGAGCAAGATCAAAATGTCGATGTCCCGCCTGGCCAGTGTGCCACAGTGGTTGAGCAGCGACCTATACACCAGGAGGTCATGGTTCAATTCCGGGTCAGGGCACATGCCTGGGTTGCAGGCTTGATCCCCAGTAGGGGGCAGCTGATCAATGATTCTCTCTCATCATTGATGTTTCTATCTCCCTCTCCCTTTCTCCCTGAAATCAATAAAAATATATTTTAAAAAATATTAATGTCCCTTCAAAGTAGTATTTCCCAAACTTCATCCACTGGCATACTACTATTTAAGGTTATGTCATATTTACACATCTCCAGCCATATTATTTTCTTTAAAAAGTTACTTTATTTAAACAAAAATATTAAGTAGATGTATTAAAAAGCAACTCCATACCATTGACATACATGGAAAACCATCTGTAATGTATAGACTGCAATGGCACAGACTAATATAATAAAAACAATGCTAATAAATTGTGCCTATTACTATTGCCTCCTGGAGGATCTGAAGGCTCTGAACCTGAGAGCTGCTCTCTCCTTGTTAAAAAGGAAAATTGGAATTAGATGTTTAAGATGAATAACACCAAACGAAGACTTTCTCTTGATTCAATCGAGATGATTCATAAAATTGGAAAAGGACAGTTATGTGTGAGTCAAATCTATATTATAGTGCAGCTGAGGGCTACTGAAAATATTTCTCCATCTATACTTTGAGAGATCCTAATTGGAATAGTGGTTCACAAACATTTAATGTGCACCAGAACCATCAGGGGAGCTTATTAAAATTCAGATTCCTGGGCACACCCTCAAAATTTACAGGTCAGTTGTTGAGTGTTTCCTTCCCACGTCCTGTGTGGATCAGGGTTCAGGAACTGGAAGCAGAGCCGCACATAAATGAAAATGAAAAGACAAGAGATAATTTGGGAATATTGGGGGGCCAGGTGGGCAAGTCCAACTCAAGGGGAAGGACTTCCACCCATGCTCAGGCCTCACCAAGCTTTTATTGATCTGGGATGCACCCATAGCATAATGGAATTTATTATTCAGCCTTTAAAAGGAAGGAAATTCTGAAATATGCTATAACATGAAGAAACCTTGAGGACATTATATAAGGTACTTAGAGTAGTCAAATTCAGAAAGTAGACAGAAAGTAAAATTGTGATTGCTAAGGGCTGGGGAAGTGGGGAGTTGTTTTATGAGGGACATTTTGGTTTCCAGTTTTGGGCTATTATAAATAAAGAGTCTGTGAGCAATTGTGTATAGGTTTTTGTGTGGTTGTGAGTTTTTGTTTTTCTGGATAAAGGCCCAGGGGCTTCAAAGGCACCCAGCCTTGGGGGTGGGGGGTGAGGGGGTTCTCTGTCTACGCTTATCAGATAGTGAAGGCAATAAACAGTTTCCCACAATCAGTATATTCATGTTGATAGCAATATTAAGGTGGGCAACCCAGTGTCCATTGATAAGGCCCAGGAGTGCAATTGCTGGGTCATATGGTAGTTGCATTTTTCATTTTTAAGAAACTGCCGAACTGTTTCCCAAAGTGTCTATACCACTTTACATTCCCACCAGCAATGTATGAATGATAGTTTTTTTGCTTCTTGGCCACCATTAGGTATTCTCACTTTGTGGGTTTTTTTTTTATTTTTTTTTATTTTAGCTGTCCTGATAAGTGTATAGTGATATCTCATTATAATTTTAATTTGCATTTATCTAATGGGTAATGACATTGATCATTCTTATTATTGTTATTTTTAATCCTCACATGAGGATATTTTCCCATTGATTTTTAGAGAGAGTGGAAGAGAGAGGGAAACATCTATGTGAAAGAAACACATCGATTGGTTGCTTCCTTCAAGGCCCTGACCAGGGTTTGGCCAGGGAGGAGGTACGTGCCCTTGACTGGAATTGAATTAACCCGGACCCTTCGAGGTATGCAGGCCAACCATCTATCCACTGAGCCAAACCGGCAAGGGTGACATTGAACATCTTTCAATGCTTATTTGCCATCTATATGTCACCTGCAGTGAAATGCCTTTTCAACTCTTTTGTCCATTTTCTCACTGAACTGTTTGTTTTTTTACTGTTGAGTTCTGGGAGTTTTTAAAAATATATCTTATATCTGAATGGGTTGTGAGATATATGACTCATAAATATGTCCTCCCAGTCTGTATCTTGTCTTTTCATTGTTATTAATGTCTTTCAGAGACCAAAGGTCTTAATTTTTAATGAAGTCCAATTTATCAATTTTTATAGGTCATGCTTTCAGTGTCATGTTTAGGAATTCTTTTTTTATGACTATTTTTAAAAGCAGTTTTAGGTTTACAACAAAATTGAGAGAGAAGTACAGAGATTTCTCATATTGTCCCTGCTCCCACACATGCATGGCCTCCCCCACTATCAACATCACTCACCAGGATGTTGTTGTTTTTTCTTTTACGAAAGATGAATGTATATTGACACAACATAATCACCCAAAGTCCATAGTTTACTTTAGGGTTCCCTATTGGTGTTGTACATTCTGTAAGTTTGAACAAACATATTATGACATATATCCATCATTATAAAGTTACTAGAGGCCCAGTGCACAAAAATTTGTGCACTCAGGGGGTCCCTCAGCCCAGTCTGTGCCCTCTTGCAGTCTGAGACCCCTCGGAGGATGACCACCTTCTGGCTTAGGCCTGCTTCCTGGGGGATGGGGCCCAAGCTGGAAGTCAGACATCCCTCTGGCAGCCCGGCAGCCTCGGGGGATGTCCACTTGCCAGCGGGAAGCAGGCCTAAGCTGCAGTTGGACATCCCACCACCACCACTGTACTGGCAGCCATCAGCCTGGCTTGTGGCTGGGGAGGGCTCCTCCC